ATGTGAGCCGATGTGCGAGAAGACATGAAGGCAACCATCGCGCGATTCCTCCGTGGAATGAACCGAGGATAAGGCAGGAAGTCGACCTGTGGTCATTTGTGGACCTAGAAGATGCTCTGCACCTTGCCATCAAAATAGAGAAGCAACAAAGGATGCTGCCTAGCAGAAAGTTTGCTACGGCAAGCAAACAGGTGGCTGAGACAGTTGGTGAGTCTAATTCGACTCCAACTCGGCTTGAATCCCCCAAACCTGTTTGCACAAATGTGAATCTTGCTCCAATTGAGCGATCTGGAGGGATTCAATGTTTCAAATGTCATGGCCAAGGTCATAAGGCCATTCAATGCCCCAACGTAAAAACGCTAGTGATCAAAGACGGTTCCTACATTTGTGACGACGAGTAGCCTGACTCTGGAGAAGAGGAGAAGGTCGATGAGGAGCTTGAAATGGAAGTTGCTACATCTGGGTATCTTCTGGGTGTTAGCAGAAGAGCTCTGACCATTGACAACAATCCAGACTTCAGTCAGCGAGAGATCTTGTTCCATTCTCGTTGCCTGGTCCAAAGAAAGGTTCTTTCAGTGATCATCGATGGCGGGAGATGTACAAACGTCATCAGTCAAGATGCTGTAAATAAACTTGGGTTGAGCACAATTAGACACTCTGAGCCTTACAATTTACACTGGTTGAATGATTATGGGGCAATTCGGGTGACAAAGCGAGCTAAAGTAACTTTCGAAATTGGGAGGTATAAGGATGAGCTTGAGTTCGATGTAGCACCGATGTAGGCTGCCCATATACTACTGGGAAGGCCCTGTCAATTCGACAGGGGAGTTCGCCATTATGGGGATACCAACCATTATAAAGTTCAACATCTGGGTAAGCAGTATATGCTTAAGCCAATGTTGCCGGAAGAAGTAAGGGCGGATCGGCGGCATATGGAAGCTAATCAGCGACATTCGAAGAGGGAAGCTCTTGGTGAAGGGTCTGGGGATCCTCGCGGAAGTAATAGCGTGCTTCAGAAGCTGATGCTTATGGGGTACAAGAAGCCCAGGGCTCCTCGTCTACGACAGTCATGTTCAACGGCGGCGAAACAGGGAAGGAGAGAGGTGGAATTGGTTGGGACGAGGGTACCTGAATTACTGAATCCAATTTAGGCGAGGGTACCTGAATTAGTGAATCCAATTCAACCCAAAAGTGCTCTGGAAATGGCAAACTTTGAAGGAAATTCGAGCTTATTGGGTGGGCTCATTGGCGGTGATTCGATCCAAACGGCTGATGCAGAATCAACCGTTATCGACCCAGGAAGCTGTACGAACGAATCAATTCGACTGGTGGTGCTTGAATTAGCAACCCCCAAATCTGAATTGCAATTCCTAGGTTTGAAGAGTTCAAACTTCGACAGTGGGGGGAAATCTGGAAACCACGATTCAATGACAGAGGAGATGATTCGAAGGTTGAAACCAGTTCAGAACTTCAATTCAAGGTTTGAAGGAGATGATGGTGGCTTTGAATTGTACTGTAGATCCCTGAGGAAGAAAGCCCCAATCTCGAATCTGAAGAACATTGCTGAAGGTGGCCAGAACTTTCAGTTCAAGCTACCATCTTACGATCCAATTTGGGAGCGATTTTGTGATGAATATGAAACCAGGAAGGCCAAAGCTTTGAGGTCAAAGCTTTTTTATGGGGGAGGGACTGATATGATCTCAATTTGGGCATTAATACGAATGGAATATATCGATCATGAAGGCAAGCTAGTCACTTTAAAGAACACTGATTTTTGCTTAAGTGTTTTCGACAATTTCCGGTGCCAACTTTGTACGAGCATAATTCACAATTGGCTTGGTGAAAACTCAGGTTCTTGGGCTTGTTTTGAAGAGGGAGAGCTTTTTGTTAAAGTGAAGTGCTTTGGAGCTCGAGTTGAGGTCCAAAAGAGGGCTTTCCATGACAAAGAAGATGCTAGCTCGATGCTAGAAAGATAGCCCGATTTGGCTAAGTATGGGAATGTGAGTGAGGATCATCTTTGGAGCTTTCGTCGAGGAGCAGGAAGGAGAGTCGAGATTCATGGGTTTTCATCCATGAAAGTACGTACCTTCTTCTACAACGGCGTGGGATTAGATGATGGGATTGATCCCTAGAAGTGTTCGATAGAGAATCTGCAAGTTCGTATCGACACTGGTTGGAGGAGGAGCAATCCGAATCCAAGACGGATTAGGATTCTAGCCGCTGTTTGTTTTAATTTCCTTTTACAGTTAGAATTTGTGCTTGTTTGAGTTATAGCCTGTTTAGGATGTTCTTTACTTGCGTTGTAAGATTAGTTAGCCTATTTAAACACTCGTCTACAATGTAATCGTCAATTTTTGTTCATGGAATAAAAAGTTGAGCTTTGATTCATCTCACTAGTTTTCTAGAGGAGTTGATTTGGATTGCATGGGAGATTCTAAGCAATTAAGCGCTTGTATCGCTTAGCTAGTCACGCTGATTCGTGGCCAAGCTTCTACCCTAAGCTTCGAGCCTTTCTCCCGTTGTGAGGATTGCACGAAGTTCCATTCCCATTCATCGTTTTCACCCTGTTCTGTTCGAGGAATTGAGCTAGGAGCTCAATTTCATTCTCAATTGCGCAACTCTGATCATAAATCCTAGTTGGGGGCTTATCAAACTCGCTTCCATGCCTCCACGTCCACGCCAAGTCCTGAAATAGGACATAAACGAACAACCTAGCGTGAAATTGGCTTAAAACACGAGAATCAACTCTCAAACGGTTCAAGAATGGAGGTCAAAACATGTGCAAATAATGGTCTATCACTCCTCCTAGTGGTTCCCCTAGACTTGGTGAGTGGATCAATCCCCTGACAAATCGATCTCTAGTGTATTGATTTTGTGACAAATCGACCACTAGTTGCTCACCCCCGCGGTTCACAACCACCTACGCCACACAACTCCATTCAATCCAACGAGTCATGGTAGCTAGTTAGGGGGAAGCAACTCCTGGATGAAGCACCCTTAGTTAGAGTTTTTCTTTATTTACTTTTCTTTGCTTGTTTAGTTTGTAGTTTTCTTAGTTTGAAAACAAAAACCCATTTTGCTAGATAACAACTTAAGCGATTGAAGTAGGGGTACATGGATCGGCTCGGGTTGATAATCAAAACTTACTTGCCCTATGTTGCAACCCCTCTAGAGTTTAAAAACTTGGGCTCTATAGGGGATTTCTAGTGTGGTGTTTAGTGTGAGTCAACAGCCTAAAATTGACGAATCCAAGGAGAGTCTGCACCCAATTTACAATCATAAGTAATCCAAAGCTACTAAAACAAAGCATAGTTTCCCTTTTTGCGCATCAACTAATACCATCATTAATGCCTTAAACATGTGAAGATTATGAAACAAAACAAAACAAAAAATCGAGAACAAAAATGAATCAGAACTCACCTCATAAAATTCCACAAAAGTTAACTTGACACTGAAGTTGACATCATAAGGCAAAACTTGTTGTATAGCATGAGGAGTCATCCAGGTAATCTTTCGGCCTTCAACTTCAACCTACGAAGGAAAATAGTACAACACATCATTTATAGGAAATATGCTGTTGAAGTAGCAATTCTACTATGCTATATAGTATTGGTGCTTTAATGTACAACTTGAAGTTGTACCATAACATTAAATGTACAAGTTTTTAGGTTGTACCATAAAAAAATTTGTATCATTATGTTATGGTACAACTTTACAACTTGAAGTTGTACCATCACATAAGGTACAAGTTTAAGTTGTACCATAAAAGAATTTGTACAAAAAGTATAGGTACAATCTGAAGTTGTACCATAACATTAAAGGTACAATTTCAAGTTGTATCATAAAGGTAAAAACCTATAGCACCAATGCTATATAGCATTGTAAAATTCCTCGATGTTGAATGCTTAACCCATAAAAGATTCTTTTTGGTCAGTTGCAGGAGTGAAGTTCGAATAAAAATTGCAGTTGCCTACCTGATAATATATGCATTTTTGCTGATACAAACACCTTATGCTAATTTATGACAACGAGCAATATAAGCCTGCCATTCATGACTCAATCTAGCAAAAGAGGAACAAAAATAGAAGTATGATAAATAAAACATGCAAACGCGACCATGAGAGAGAAAACATCCAATCGAACCTTCCATTTGGCGAATTCCAAACGCCAAGTACTGCACGTACTTAAGAGCCACACAGAAACAATACTAGTGCATTACCTTCTACAACTGTGTACCCGATCCACATTGATTTTCAACCTCTCTACAACAGGTAATGCTACAAACAAATGCACCATCGAGAGACAATCATCCAAGTCTCGGAGTGCATCAACAAACTTGGGATACCTACTTTGCGAGGCAACAAAGTACTGTTCGACCATCTTTTATCCACAAATACAGAAGAATAAGCAACATACAGGTGCCAAATCAAGAGACTACTTACACCATAAAAGACACTTCACCATAAAGATGATGAGATATACTAAGAGATTCAATTCCTCAAATCATAGCAATTCTTTAAAAGATAAAAAGTGGGTACGCTTTACCACCCACAATTTTTTACTACTGTTTCATTATTTGTCGTCTTGCGGAAAGTTGCGTGGGTTTGTGTTCGCGGTAGGGTGGTTGGCAGCAGCGGACGGATAGGTGACGCTTGGGTCGGAATGGAAACAGATCCCGCAATCCCCCGCTTTAATAGACACAGTAGTTTCCGTACGCGAGTGCATACTTCCTGCTTCAAACCCTGCATTGAAACGTGTTCTTTTGGTCTTCGCGTCGCTTCGTCATGCTGCTTTCCCGGAATCGCCGGTCCACCACGCATATACTATTGCGCCTCGGCTCAACACGGCAGTGGCAAATAGTTGTCATTCCTTTACCTACTACCCTTTATGCAGTGGAGAAGGAGATTGGTCCGACCCTTTTCTCTTCAGTTTCTCTTTGCCTCATCTTTGTTGCAGGTTTCCTCTGTTCTTACATATCCTCTTCTCCCTAATTCACTTCAATGAAACACATCCTCTCCAAGCTCATGTGGACGGACAAAGATCCCTTGCTGAAATTACGCCTCCTCCATACATTGACGGCGGGGAACCCAGCGCGACCGGATGGATTCTCCGAAAACACCACTCTCTGGACGGATGAGTTGGTTGGTTGCCTGATTCCTCTTATTCCTTCCTTCGTCTGCCGTTTTCTTTAGGTTCCTCATTTTTTGCCTCTTTTCGCAGGGTGTTTGGTCCAGGGTCTTGCGTCTAAGCAGTTGTGTGGTCAATTGCAAGAGGTTCTTGCTGTGGGGAAGGTCTATTTTGTAAGCCAGTGTGAGTCCAGGAAATGCTGGTCGGTGTGTTCCAATGACCGCCTGTTGTATTTCAATTCCAAAACTTCCTTCATCCATTCTCCTGAAGACGATCATACCTTCTGTCTTGATAGCTTTGAGATCCGCCGCTTTGAGGACCTCGAGAAAATTGTCACAGTACATTGCTCTGTTGTGGGTCGGTGTTCTATTCGTGAATCTGCCCTGCTAAACGTTCACGCTATGCTTGCTGAAGAAATTCTCTTTTCCATAGATGTTGTGGGGCGGTTGGTGTCTGCAACGCCTGTTAGCTATTTCCATAAGCAAGAGCGTTCCATCAAGCGGCAAGTTGTGGTCATTGATATTGAAAGGTATTTCGCACTTCCCTTTGTGGTCTCCCTCGCCTGCTTTGTTCTACCAGATTCCTCTTTCAGCCTTCCAAGTGTCTCTTCTGTTGCCGGGAAAGCTTCCCTATCAATCACGTTATGGTCCGACTTTGCCGAAAGAGTGAACTTCCCTAAACTCATTGAGCTCAATGGCACAACACCTGTGATTGTGGCATTCACCAGTCTCAGTCTGGCTAATCGGCGTGGAACGTTTACTTTGACGTGGACTCTGTTCAGTGCTATGTGCCTGGAAGTCAATTGAACTTGGTAAAGGATCTCTTATCCATTGAGCTCAATTTGATTTCTGCTGCTTTTTATTTGTTGGTTGGCCATAACTGTTCCGTTCCCCCTTCTTAAGTTCTCATTTTGTGGTTTGTATTTGTGTATTTCATTATTCTCCTTTTTTTTTCTTTGGCCAAGTTAGATGGAGCTTCAGTAATACTGTTGTTTGGTATTTTTTCATCTGTATATAACCTTCTGGTATGCGATCATCAACTTATATTGGCCTTTATTTTATACAAATTTGGCTCCCCAAGTAGCCAAATATGGCTTTTTAGCTCCCCAAACCTCATTTTCACTCCAACCCTACACAATGCTAAATTTAGCTTCCTACTTACCTTTTTTCAATTTATTACAATAAAGCATACTTATTTGACCTCTAATTTTCATATTTCACTTTAATTTTCTATAATTAGTTATTACTTTTGAAAACAAAATTTTCGATGTAATTTTTTTTTTATTCCGAGAAAAAAAAGTTTCGGAAAATTAGTCATTATTTTGTTACCGTTAACTTTGGGACCAATGAAAAAATACCAATTAAACATATAACATTTCATATCTTCTTTCAAACAATTAAACAAACAACATACACAATCAACCAATGACAAAATACCACACAAAAAAAGCAAAAAGAAAAAACAACACAATCAACCAATGAGAAAATCCCACAGAAAAAACAAAAAACAAAAAAATAAAAGAGGACCCACCGCGGGTCCACCATTTCCTCTAGCCAAATTTGGCTTTTTCACCTCTTTGGAAGCTAAATTTGGCTCCCAATTCACCAATACCCATTTTTAGCTCCCCAAAATAATGTGGGTTGGAGCACAAAAAAAGAGCTAAAAATGGGTAAATGGCTTTTTAGCTCTAGGGTTGGAGTTAGTCTCAGTTAAACATTAATGCAAGGACTTGAGCAGTTGGAGACATTTCACTTTTGGTTTAGCAACAATGTTACTGATTGTTCACTCTTCAACCAATGGTTTCACAACTTGCAATCTGAGACTGGTTTTGGCTTAGCAAGAATGTCCTTCAGGTCAGCCAGTTCTGAATTTTACTCATTTTGATGTACAACGCTTCGAAAGCTACAGGTAGCTTTTGTTTGGACATGAAATTTGAGTCCTTTTTTCTCTTTATGAGTGCTCCGTTGTCAGATCAAGCATCTCAAGAAGTTTACAAGATCTAAATTCATCATCCATTAGTGAATCCGAAGCTAGCCGTATCTCATTTGGGTTTTCTGTTGTTGAGCTGTTTTCTCATCCTAGATAAGCCATATTGGTTTCCATAATGCTTTGTTGGTAAAATTTTGCTTTCGTAGTTCTATATGTTAACATTTGCAGGTCATGCATGTGCTTTTGACAACCAGCTGTATATGTTCTAGGCTAATTTATCATAACTATATGGCTTCCTATGTATCAATCAATGCACCAATGGATTTTCACCTTGGTGGTCGTACTTTTGATGTTTCCCTGCTAGCAATTGAAAAGGGTATCTCTGTAGTGAAGGCAACTGTTGGAGACACTCACCTTGGTGGTGAGGATTTTGACAACAGATTGGTAAACCATTTTGTCCAGGAGTTCAAGAGGAAGACCAAGGAGAGTTTTTTTTTTTTCTTTGTTTTTTCCCCAACATAGATATGATCCAATTCAGGTTTCACTTCCTTGAATTCTACATAACTTCTTACTCATTTCTCTGTTTGATTCTTTAGGTCAAGACTTTTGCCTTGGACACTCAATTGAAGCTTAAGGATCTAGATCAGAGCAGTAGGTAGCTACATGTGGTTAACGGAACAATTTTAAGTTTGGGTGTATCTTTGGCCAAATTATTATCAAGTAGCCTAAACTAGATACTATCGCTAATCCTTGCTTTATCTCTGGCTTATCAATGTGGAAAACTAACTAATCGATCATGCTTTGATATTTTTGCTTTCTCGAAATCATGAACTTTTCTTGAATAGGATACCTATTAGTGCTTTATACAATGCATTTATAGTTTTACTTAAATTGCTTCATTCGCTTTCAAGGACAAACACTTTCAGACAGCTGAGTTTGAGCCTCAACTGAAATTCAAAGTTCAATGGAATTTCGACAGATTTGAATTCTATCATTTGGTGGCCAAGACTGTATGGAGTGTTTAATATAGTGACAAATACCAGAAGCTGCAGGGGTTTTCGTATGCAGCCCTCAAAAGGAAAATAATAGATTTGTAAGAATGCAGAAAGCAGATGTTTGGGAGATATTTCCAGGATCAAGAGACTTACTATTGGACTGAAGATCATATGATGCCTTTATCCTCTCTTGATAAGCTGCTGCTAGCATTCTGCATTTCATGGTGGAAATAGAGTGACATGTATGCAGTAACATATGGAGATCTGTTGAGTGGATCTTCTTAGTGTGAAGAAGGCAGGAATTTGAATGTACGACAGTTATAGAGCATGGGCAGGAGGCTGAGCTTGCATTTCTTTTGATGTTTTTCTTCCTTCACTATTTTACTGCTACCTCTTAGCAGTCTGATTATAGTTAGCATTTAGAAACTCTTCAGTCTTTTTGGTTTCCTAACAATCTTCTATATCACCATTAATACAAAGGACCAACACTTTCAATATTAATAACTTCTGTAGAACTATATTGTATAGGTTTGTAATGACTCGGTATTTGCACATGTTTTCCCCTTTGTTTCTTGATTGTTTGAGCTTGAATTATCGTGTCTTTGGCCTATTTTACGCTAGGTTGTGTTCCTTTGTCACATTTCAGGTCCTAGCACATAAAGTGAAGCATAGGCGCAAGTTTCAAGTCAATCAGAGATCAATTGACGATTCGGGAGAAGAAACTCGGGTATGACCTTAAGAAGAATGGATTTCTACCTCACTTTATGGACAAATCATCATGCAAGCTTGTCATGAAAAGAAAGAGGACGAGACTACGAGCGTCTGGGATCAAACGGCGACTGATTCGGAGTCCGGACGAGGGAGAAACGAAGCATTAAACAGAGGCTGAGCAAGCCACACGGGCACAACCCACACGGCCGTGTGACATGGCCATGTGGCCGTGTGGAAATCACCGAGCCTTCACACGGGCAGCTGGGAAAGCCACACGGCCGTGTGGACTGGCCGTGTGAGTCGGGAATTGCTGTTTAAAACCCGATTTTCAGCAAAAGGAAAGGGGGAGAGCTGGGTTTTGGATCCCAAACACCCAAGGGACGAACCCTAGAGAGAGTGCGCGACTTGGGAACATTCTTGGAGCTATTTTGGAGGATTTCTTCGCCATTGGAGCTCGGGAATCAAGCTTGGAGATGGAGATTGAAGATCTAGATCAGATTTCTGCAGTGTCTCTCTTCTCTATGGAGTAACTTCCCTTCACTTAGGTTTTGAGGAACCTTAGTTCCATGAGTTAGGATCTTTCTTGTATGAAGTTTTGGATGCTATATTGTTTGATTATAATCGAATGATGCATGTTTATTGAGTCAATTGAAGTCTGATCAACTTTTCCTGATTCCTGCTGCAATCTGAGATAGATAGAATCTGATTAGGTTGCTAGAGTCTCATCATTCGGTAGTAGGAGATTGGCTATACGAGAGTTAGCCAGTTTACTGCTTTGTACTGGAATTAGATTCCAGTAGTGGAGTTCTGTTCTTACTGCTTCAGCTTTCTATCCCGGTGAAGACTAGTCGTCTGCCAGATAGTTAGACTGAGAGTGCTTGGTCAGCTTAAGAGATTTCAAGCTACTGTCGGATCTTCCGCAGTTTAATCAACAGTAAATCAACCAAAAGGAATTACAACTTGGACCTAATTGAGGAGCTAGGGGGAATCATACCTAAGTGAGTTCCCAAACTGTAATTAGTAGTTTTCCTTAGTTTAGTTAGTAGAGTAGTTTAGTTAATCAATCCTTAATCTAGTTTGCTAGATAATGAACTGAAGCTGAGTAATAGTAACTCTAGAGACCCGTGGATTCGATATTTATTACTTGTGCCACTATACTGCAGTCCCTTTCATTGGTTACACTTGGCCATTGTTAGGTGTTGTGTTTTAGAGCATCAGTTTGCTATTGAGTGTTTAGTAGTAGCAGGTGGTGTGCAGCCTAAAGAAACTTTGCTTAAAGCACACCATCAAGTTTAATGCATCATTTGAACTAAATTTTGTCCATGAAATTCCTCTGCGGTGCTTATGAATTTACAGTCCTCAACTTATCATCCAATGTTCATTAGGTCTTCTTGCTGTATTGTTTATCACTAAGAAGGTGAGTAGTTTACAAAGGGATTCATTAGTTATTAGTCATTATTTTGCTAAGAATATGATAGTGCTTTGTTGACCAAAATTATTAATCAATGTGCTTTTTAACACGTGCATCGCATTATAGTTTTATGCTTAGACCAAGCTTTATTCCTGAGCATTTTCCTACTACCACAGAACTTGAATCACAGCTAAGGAGATCAGATCAGAAGATGAAAGAACAGCCATAACAATAAGATTAAAACATTGGAGAAGCAAGACCAAATCATTGAACTTGAAGGTCAATTAAAAGTTCAATTGACTGATTATGCCCTCTGCTAACCATGTCCTGGTATTATTTCTAGTTATCAATAACCACTAAGCTCCAGTGGATTTCTTAGAGTCTTTACAGAGCACCTAGAGGATGAATAGGTTTAGCAAACCTTTCTCGGACCAGCCTGTCCAGAGTATAAGTTGGCTCTCTAGTTCGAAGTCGGGTAGCAAGATCTTCATTCTTATTAGGCAAAGCTTTGTGTATTTTTTCTTGGTATGCCCTCTGCTCCCTTAACTTCTCAAGTAGGGGATCATGTTGTATGAAAGCAATGTCCTTCACAAGATAGTAAGTCTCGTTATTACCTTTAACCTTCTTCTTTGGTTCCCTGGGGAATACACCTTTGAGGATACAAAGCTTCCTATAACACAAGCAAGAAAACAATAAGCAGTCTTAAAATCCAACAACCATCCCTTGTACATATTTCTTCACCTAGAAGAAAATAAACGCT